GAAATACAGTATATTGTATTTCATTGGTGCGTTGCCCATTTTTCCTTACAAAAGCTCCATGATAATCTTCTCTGTTAAGAAATTTTGAAACCAGTCACAAGCATGAATGATAATTTTTTACTTTTAAAATAGTTTTCCCCTTCAGTCTTAGAAGGTCTATCTTGATGCTACAATAGTTAATACTTATCAAGTATGATTTTCTGGAGGGGAGAGAAATGGTTAGGTGGTGTCTGTATCTGCCAGAATTTTAAGAAAGCATGGAGGTAAATGTTATCAGATAGACTAAGTATTTCTTTGCACATTTTCTTCCCACCTTTAAGTGGACTTTTATAATACAACTGTTTTACTTTCATCCCTTCCCCTCTCTAAAAACTGTGCCTAACATCTGTCACTTTAAGGTAAGTTTTTTGTTTTTTAAAGAAAGGTAAAAGGCATTAGTTGTTTCTCTGTCATTTTTTCCTTAACTTTGCTTATTCAAATATTCTTTTTAATTTAAAATTTCTTATCACCTTTTCTGTCTGTATATTTGTTCTGGAGTTTCGAGGTTGTATTTACACTTTCCACAGTTTCTTTCTTTTTCTGTACTTTTTTTTCCCCATTGATTTAAAATCCCAGTTCTTGTATTTAGCCCTTTACCTATAGCTCAGCATATTTCAGTGTTGCCAGCCTTCATATACAGTGGTTTCTTATGGGATTTTCTCTTGTGCTTTGTCAAGTATTTTATTTGGCTTTGAGGAATTTTACAGTTTGAATCAAGAATAGGGTGTGCACTTGTATGCTCATGTACTTTTTGTTATGAGTCAGTTTGTGCAAAATGTTTAAATGGATGTTCTTTCACATTTATTTTTTTGTTCTGGGGTGCCCCTTTCAGCACTTCAGATAAGGTTGAGCCGAGCTTTTTGTTTGGAGTCAATTTTTCAAAGTGCTGTAGACACATTCTCAGATTGGCCTGAAAGTTGCTGTGCCAGTTGAAGTCCTGGGATAGAGTTAGTGTTACAAATTTGGAGTCAGTTAGTCAAGGGGTTCCCAAGATACAGCGCCCCCCCTCCCCTCCCTCGGCTTATTTTTAAACTGTGCTGGTTCTTATAACACTTTATTGCCCATAGATGATGGGGATGGGCGTGCGGTTGGAACTATAGGCAGGAGCTAAATAAAATATGTATTGCTGTCTGCCCCGAGCTCAACTAGTGACTGACATTCCAAATAATTGATATGTTGGTATATACAACATAGTTATTATTTTCTCTGAAAACCAAGCGGAACTTCTGTTGCTAGAAGCAAAAAGTTAGGGCTAGTCTATACTACCGCGCTCCATCAGTGCAGCTGCACCGCTGTAGCACGTCTGGTGAAAATGCGCTATGCTGACGCTCTCCCATTGGCATAATTACTCCACTCCAATGAGAGGTGGAAGCTATGTCGACAGGAAAGCATCTCCCGCCAACATAGCACGATGTGGACGGCGCTTTAAGTCTGTGTAGCTTGCATCGCTCAGGGGATGACTTTTTCACACCCCTGAGCAACATAAGTGGCAATGTAGACAAGCCCACTGTGAACAAAATATTTGATATACTGATATGGAGTGGGAACGTACAGTCATACCTTATCTGTGTATTTTATCAGAGGAATTGTTTTCTGCAACTTGGCCGATTGCCAGGAGTATTTTGCTTCCCCTTCCTAATCTGTTAAGCACTTTCTGCATAAGGGTTAGCATAAAGTGATCCAGGCTATTTGTGAGGTCCAGAGGGGTTTCAGTGTAGCTCTGCCAGCATTGTTTGCACTATAGAGCTGATGAATAACGTGGTCTTGGCACTACTGTGAGATTCTTTACTGTGCACGCACACACCCTAGATAGTGTTCATTCTAAGCAGAAAATCATGGGCAAGGGGGAATGCAGCATGCTAACAATCCAAAGCGTAATTAAATGAACTGGTGCTCAGAGCTGCTTTATTTACTTTGTATCTCTTGCCAGCTCCGTGTGCAGGCAGCTGAGGAAGCAATATTCAGCATAGATAAGTCCATAGATGCTAAAGTGGGTATTTAGCATGCTTTGGCAGCCCTGGAGGCAGAATCAGAACTGTAACTGACAGCAGGGGGAAAATTCGATTCTTGAAGAGCCTGCCTTTTTTCCCCGTCTCCATAATTGCAAGCAGTTATCCATACTTACTGCTGCAGAACTTCACGATAAACTGTTAAATAAAAAAACCTTCGGTAAAATTCTGATCTGGCCAAGTTGGTAGGGACACCAGGTTGCCGCTCTGGACCTTGTTCTCTCCCCCCGACCCCCTCTCCCCCACCCCACACCTTGGCTCGGAGGTGCGGCAGCTGTGTCTACCCCAGCTACTACTTTCCTCTTCCAGGACTCGTATTGCTGCTGATGTAGTGACGCCCCTGGCTAAGTTGTCTGTGAAGATTTAAACTGGGATCTCTGGCCATAAGAGTGTGGGTCTTTACTGCCTGAGCAAAAGGACCATATCTCTTGGCTTGGAGGTAGTAGTAGCCTCAAATCTCTACAGCTGGTCCAACCAATCGGGACACAGAGCTACACTGTGTTAGTGTATGGTACAGACTCCTTCAAATGTGCACAGCAGTTCAAATCCCCGTACAGGCATCCACTTGTAATGATAATGCTGGTTGGATTGGCTTTATGGATTGAATCCAAGACCTCAATCTAAAAGCATGTCCTTGTGCTAAAGGAAACCAGAAATTAGCAGACTCACAAGTTCTTTATATGGTACAGCCTCTAGATGGGACAAAGAGCCATATTTATTGTGAGTTATGCTGACAGGGCCGACAGGCTGGTAGATTGGAAGTTTTGGCTATTCTGCACACAGGGAGAAACCACATCTGTATGGCTTCAGAAGGAAGCTGTAGTGTGCCTAACTTGGGGAAAGGAAAATCATACATCTCAAAACTCTGCATTTAACTACAAAGAGATTTTAAGTGAGTACAAGTATAAGGCATTACAGGCAGAAATGGTTAAAAGAAAAATAAAGATAAAACACTTTCTAAACTTAACAAACTAGACCTGTTTCAAGATACAGTTGTTACCACCTGCTTCCAGCAACAGGACTGACCAAATTTCAGTCAGGGTCTGCTCTCAAAGTTCATAGGCTGTTTCTTTTGTTTTCTTAAATGGAAAAGAGAGAGATAGATAGGGAGAGAGAACTTGCGTTTTTGTCCCTCACTTTTGTAGTTCAGTCACCCTTTGAAATTGCATTTTTCTGAAGGTTACCCAGCGATAAATTTCATTCCCACTGTGAGCATGGAGACAGTCATTGTGAAAGAGGTTTCATGCTGTGCTTTGGTAAAATGCAGATTTGCCTTGTCTCTCTCTCTCTTGCTGTCTCAAGGACCTTGTTTACTACTTATATGTCAATTGATGTAAATCCACATTCCTTTAAGAGCTGCTTGACCTGTCCTGCCTAATAGGGGGCTACATGGGTTTGACTATGTGCTACCAACATCATTCAGGAGGAATTCATAACTTTACATATAAGGTTGCTACACACATTTCATCATGATATTATTGACCAGCGAGTTTAGCTTTCAAATGATACTTCGCAAGGCATATGTTGTACAAAGATGATTACAATCGTGTATAGGGTATGAATACAGTGGTACATTTGATCACAGTAATTTTCTGCCAATTTTCCACCAGCTCCCTGCACAATGAGCAGAGCACTTGGTGGTATTTCCAATAAACTAACATTTTAAAGGAAGAACAGATAACTGTTTCTGTTATAGTATTATGATGGCATTTAAAACAAATGTTCAGATTGACAACTCTTGTGAAGAATATTTATGCAGAATATATTGTTGAAAAATCTCAGCTAGCATCAAATGTCAAATATTGCATAAAGTGAGTTTTTAAATTTTGGGTGTAGCTAATTTAATGAAAGGAAATATTTGTACAAAAGGTCTGTTGTTTTTATTTATTTTATTAAAGCTATTTCTATAACAATCACCATAGTATCTGAAGAGTTGTTACCAAAGTTTGTCTGTGTCTCTAATAACATTGTTTTAAATTTGATCATGATTGTGATAAAAGTGGGCTCTGTACCTATGTAGGTTACTCTGTTCTTCCACTGACAGGCTGCTGGGTGGGTGGATGGGAGAGGTTCTGGTTTTGAGGTTGATAAAGAAATTTTACCCTGAGTCTCTTAAAAGTCTATTGCAAGATTTTAGGTGGCAAAATTGCAGTGGCTTTGCTGTGGCCATCAATCTTTTTAACTTTCTATGGTGAAAACACCAAACAGATTTCCAGTATGCTAGTAAAATACGACGAGTATGTTTTTTGGCATAACAAAGTGGCACTACTACTTTCTGTTTTACATAAACTAATAAAAGCATAATTGCCTTTCTTTAATTATTACCATTAATGCTTAGTTTAATGGTAACCCTTAATAGTTTACTACTACTTATTAAAAATCATTCATGATTTTTTTCAGCTGTTTAAGGATTAACTGTAAATGAAAGAAATGACTGTGCTTTAAGATGGAACCAATGAACACCCTGCTAAAACCCCCTCCTCGAAGGTTCCTTGGTGTCAGATGCTGATTGGGAGTGCATCAGGCAGGCCCAGGCTGGGGGTTTCAGAGCTAGGAAGCTGCACAGCCAGCTGCAGTCATTGGTGCCAGAACACAACACGTGACCATAAATAAGAATTAGCTTAACCTTATCAATCCTTTAAAATCTTGAGTCAGCATACAGTAGTTAGAGTGAGTCACAAGGTTGTGTGCTATGGCTGGGGCGGGGACAAAAATTGGTAAGTGGCTTTTGATAGCTTACCATAAAATTACTTTTTGAAAAGCTTACCATAAAAGCGTTTCAATATAAAAAGTGTCTGCGATCATGGCTGTAGTATATAAGCTTTGCAGAGATGTATAACAATTGTGATACTGGAAGAGAAATATTGAATTAAATACATCAGAGCAAACATAATTAAGTAGCAAATTTGTACAGTGAAATCTTTCTGAAAGCAGTTTTTTTTCCCCCTTTAGTTGACGCAGATGAGATTAAACGGCTAGGAAAGAGATTTAAGAAGCTTGATTTAGACAACTCTGGTTCTTTGAGTGTGGAAGAGTTCATGTCTTTGCCTGAGTTACAACAGAACCCATTAGTACAGCGAGTAATAGATATATTTGACACAGATGGGAATGGAGAAGTGGACTTCAAAGGTAAGATACAGTGCTCTGTAATACAGTGCTCTATAATACATGATGTTGGCATTTTCTTAGAAGATCTAACTCTTGGAAACTGTTAATTTCAGCTCTGATGTAAAAAAAAAATAGAATAAATTTTGTAAGAGCAAAATAAAGTGTGAAATCCACTTACAGGTTTAAGGGTGAAACACACTTATAAGATACTTTTATATATTAGAAATAGATACTAACAATTCCTGTGAATGTGTATATAAAATAGACTTAAATTTATTTATTCCCTAATGCATAACCCAATATAACAATTTCTGTTGGTTTAACTATTTTGTTTAATAATCTTTCTTACTATTCATATTCTTAACTTCACTTTCATCCTTGATTTCCATTTTAGAGTATATTAATGAAACAATATTAATCTAGGCATTCTAAAAACTATTTTCCTCATTAACCTGAAAAAGACCTGATGGGTGGGAGAGAATTACAAATGTGTGGGTTCAGTTTTACTTAACTAAACTTTTAAGAGACACATGGAACTAGCTGTAGCAATCTCGGAACTATTAGCAAGAGTCATAGAAGATGGGTAAGATCCCAGAGGACTGGAGAGGGGCAAACAAAGAGGACTCGAGCAATTATAGACCAGCAAACGAGGGAAATAGTCTTGATGAAATTACTATAAGGTGATTGCAGAGCTGGTTGAAAAAACATACTCAACAAGTAGTTATCAATGGTTTGCTGTCAAAGTAGGAGGGAGTATCTGGTGGGATTTCTGAAGGGGGTCAGTCCAGGATTTGGAACTATTCCATATTTTCATTAATAACTTGGATAATGGAGTGGAGAGTATGCTTATAAGCCTTTCAGATTACACCAACCGGGAGGGGTTGCAATACTTTTGGAGGACTGTATTGGAATTCAAAAAGACCATGACAAGTTGGAGAATTGGTCTGAATTCAACAAGATAAAATTCAATAAAGATCAAGTGCAAAGTACTTCACTTAGGAAGCAAAAATCAAATGCACATGTACAAAATGGGAAATAACTGGGTAGGTGGTAGTACTGCTGAAAAGGAACTGGGCATTATAGTGCATCACAAATTGAAAGGTAGTCATCAAGGTGATGCTGTTGCAAAAAAGGCTAATAGCATTCCAGGGTGTGTTAACAGGAGTGTTGTATGTAAGACATGGCAGGTAATTGTCTCAGTCTATTCAGCACTGGTGAGGCCTCAGCTGGAGTGCTGTGTCCAGTTCTGGGCTTCACACTTTAGGAAGAATGTGGGCAAATTGGAGAGAGTCCAGAGGAGAGCATCAAAAATGAAGAAAGGCTTAGAAAACCTGACCTATGAGGAAAGGTTACAAAACTGGGGAAATTGAGTCTTGAGAAAAGAAGACTGAGGGGCGACCTGATAAGTCTTCAGATACGTTAAGGGCTGTTATAAAGAGGACTGCGATCAATTGCTCTCCATGTCCACTGAAGGTAGGACAAGAAGTCATGGGCTAAAATCTGTGGCAAGGGAGATTTAGGTTAGATATTAGAAAAAACTTTCTAACTGTAAGGGTAGTTAAGTTCTGGAATAGGCTTCTAAGAAGTTGTGGAATCCCCATCATTGGAGGTTTTTAAGAACATGTTGGATAAACACCTGTCATGCATGATTGAGGTCCCGCCTCAGTGCAGGTGGCTGGACTTGATGACTTCTCATGGTCCCTTCCAGCCCTACATTAATTTCTGTGATTCTATAAATATTTGGATCTAAATAGTTCATTTTTAATGAGAAATAAGTTCCAATTTTGTATAGCCTCTTAATAGGATTTTTTTCTTGGAATAGTTCTTCAAGATTAAGGTATTACATAATTACTAAGATTAAGACTCTGTCACGGGTATTTTTAGTAAAAGTCAGGGACAGGTTGTGGGCAATAAACAAAAATTCATGGAAGCCGCAACCTGTCCCTGACTTTTACTAAAAATACCCTTTGGAGGGGACAAACAGCGCTGCTGGGGCTTGCAGCTGCTCCAGCCCCGCCGCTGTTCCAGCCCCCAGGGGACTGACCTTGACCTGGACCAGGACCAGGATCAGGACCATCACTCCGGCAGGCCTGGGACCACTGGCAAGCTGTTCCAGGGGCCCCTGCTCTGGGGCTGGATGCTGCTCCGGCAGCCCTGGGCTGATGTCCCAGCCAGCTGCTTCAGTCCTGTCCCAGAAGAAGTCACGAAAGTTCCATAAAATAATGGAATGCGTGATCTTCGTGACAGAATCGTATCTTGTGTGTACATTACATCAGTACTAGACCAGGTTTCTTAGACTGGTGTGGGAATCTTTCCAGGATAATTTGCAACACTTTTGGGTTCCATACAACATTCTCTTCTGTGACTAAAATACCTTGTATGTGATATTTTTCTATGACAGTTAGTTTAGATTGAAAATTGTTTTTCTCTGTAAATTACAGAAATTATAGAAGTATTGTATTTCTATTTAATAGTCTTTTTTACCTGTAGTTTGCCACTTTTTCAAACAAAAAAGAGAGAATGCTGATATGACAAAGCAAAATAAGTCTCAATTGAATTCTAAAGTAAGTGTTAGAGAGCTACATTATTTAAAATGTTGCTCATTTAGAGGATCAGGGGCTGAGTTATTTCAATGCCAAATTATCAAATTTAATATTTCTTTAATTTAGGGTCCAATCCTCAGAGTGGCAAGTTTTCTTTAACTCCCATTGAAATTAATGTAGGATTTTTTTCAGGATTAGACTAAAAAGTCTTTCTAATTTTTCCTGTCTGATTAGAATTTACCAAATTTCAATTATATAGATATTTTGATCAATAAAATTTGAAGAAAACAGTAATCATGAAGTACATTCAAGCTGTTATAGCACAACAGCAAAAAACAAAACCCAACTAAATTGGAATGTTTGAATTTTAAGACTATTTTCCTCAACAGTGTCATCCTCTAAAACTATATAAACATTGCACATAATAATTGTCAAAATACACTTGTTAAAGCGAGGGTACTATATTGTTCATGAGATTATGAACTCAAATAATGTGATTACGAAAAGCTGTAACAGACGATTTAGCACTAGTCTGATCTTTGTATCGTAAAATGATGCAGTCATAATGTGTTTTGTGGCAGTGAATCTACTGTTGCCATCTGGCCATGTTTGGTGACTTATGTAAATGAATGGTAGTCTCAATCCAGTTTTTGCTGAACAGGTGGCCACTTCACAAAAAATATCATTGCTGGCACACGTGTGTAGACAGTGCAGGGAAGTGTGGGGAAACTTGCATTGCTTCTCCTGTTTTCTACCTACTTTTTTTTGTAGAGAAACTCATTTTCTGATATCCATCTAACATCTTTCTCAAACACAGGAAAAAAGTCACTTAAATCACATTAGTACAGCTGTATTAGATCTTCTGTTCACTCTACCTATACATTTACAAAAATATTTTATTAAACCAGTTTGGTGATTTTATTGTTAAAATGAAAACTGTTGGGGATTTTTGCCAACAAATGGTAGTCAGTATTTCCATTCTAATGGTAGCCTTTGTACTTTTTTCTTTACTGTATTTTAACTACAAAATTCTTATTAGGTCAGCATCTTACCTTCCAGGACTTCAGAAAGTCCTGCTCTGGAGTCTGATCCTATGTACCTTATATCAGTAGTTCTTTTGATTCTTTGCTGTTACACATGTGAGTAAAGGCTGCAAGATCTGGCTCTGGGAATTGCATGGTTTTGGAGTTTGTTATAGTTTGAGTGTCATTTTGTTAATATTCACATTTATTTATAACACCCTTCTAAAAATACTATTTGTGCCTGTTTTATTAAAAATATGGTCACGTTAATGTAATCCAAGATGAAATTTAGGGCTTGATTTGAGATGAACTGAACACACCACAACTCCAATTGAAGTCAATACAGTAGGCGTTTCAAGTCCTTATTTATATAAATTGTATTTCTTTGAAAGTCCAAGCTTTTGATTATTTTAAGTAAATTTTGATATATATTAGTACATTGGGCATGGTGTTTGGTTTGAGATGCTTCCTGCTGAAAGGAGCTAGAAATGCCTTCATAAGGATGTGGCGACACTATTCCTCCTTGAGGTAAGCTGTGTTCTAAGGACATTCCCAATAATACAGACTTTTTAAAAAAAAATCTTTTTTTTTTTTTTTTTTTTAATTTCTGAATATTCTGGTTTCTGTTTGCAATAAACAGGGCTTTGAAAATATATATACACTACTGATTTGTAAATGCTTTTCCTGCCCTGTATTCTTCAGAATTTATAGAAGGAGTCTCCCAGTTCAGTGTCAAAGGGGATAAGGAACAGAAGTTGAGGTGTAAGTACTTTGATTTTTATGACCGCTTTTCTGATATTTTTCAAATGTAGTTTGCTTTTAACAAAACATTTTTCCTCCTGGGGTGCATGTTCTCTGACAGAAATCTACATCAGGCAGGACAGGTGGAGACTATCTTGAAGGAGTTGGGACTCCGTACCTCTTGAGGAGGTCACTGGCACCTTCACAAAAAGGCCTGAGCATGCTGCCTCTGCAGCATTGTTGCATTCCCTACTGAATGAGCAAAACGAAGTCCACATCCTTTTTAGATTAAAGGAATTATGAGCAATGCACATCATTATGCTTTTGACAGTATGGAAATCATTTGATTTTTGTTTATACAATAAAACAAAGAAATACTAAACTGTTCCTGCAAAATTTTGACAATGTATCTTTCAGAAGCATAATATGGTCAAGCCTTTGCTTTTTCTTTTAATCCTTATTGCAATAATTAAAGATATAATATGGATGTAGGAAGGAAAGTTGTTACCACGAAATATTAAAAAACAACACTCCACCACCCCAGATTTAGACCATGTCCAAATGGCTTGCTGTAAACTGACCAATTGGGGTGTTGATTAGCCATGCCACAGAAGGCCATGGTTATGTCTCTAATGTGAGTGGCCCAGCTTATGATGCACTTCTTGTTTGCTGAATTCTTTTGTTGTTTGCTTAATGTTGTCAGTGTTAATGGAATACTTTTACACTCAGGGCTTGTCTACACTTCAAACATTACAGCGCCGCTGTAGGACTTCAGTGTAGACACTACCTATCCTGACAGGAGGGATGCTCCCGTCGGCTTAGGTAATCCACCTCCCTGAGACACGATAGCTAGGTCGACAGGCGAATTCTTCTGTTGACCTAGCACTGTCTACATGGGGATTTAGGTTGGCTTAGCCACACCGGTCAGAAGAGTGACTTTTTCACACCCCTGACCAATGTAGTTAAACCAACCTAATTTTTTAGTATAGACCAGGCCTGAGTGTTAAAAATCTCTCATACTAAAGGGTTAAATAAATTATAGTAGAATTGTTCACTGTTCTGTGTCTGATATAGTAGGATCCTTGTCTGCCAGGATTTATAAATTCATGATTAAAAATCAATGTGACTACAGAAAACAATGCAAAACCTTTTTTCTCAGTTGTACATATAAAATACATAATTATTTGTATCTGCCTTCTGAGAAGTGTTCAGTCTAGTGGAAATTTTTGTTGGCAGGTCATATTTACTATTTGAATGTTTCTTTAACTTGTTTTCTGCAGTTGCTTTCCGGATTTATGATATGGACAAAGATGGCTATATCTCCAATGGGGAGCTCTTCCAAGTGCTGAAGATGATGGTTGGGAACAATCTCAAAGACACTCAGTTACAACAAATTGTAGACAAAACCATAATTAATGCAGATAAGGATGGTGATGGAAGAATATCTTTTGAAGAGTTCTGTGCTGTAAGTATTCTCTAGGGAAAAATGTTGATATTTAGATTTACTAAAATTATATCTAAAATACAGTTTGACCTAAAGAGACTGGTTTTACCACAATTACAGTAACTCCTCACTTAACGTTGTAGTTATGTTCCTGAAAAATGCGACTGTAAGCGAAACGATGTTAAGCGAATCCAATTTCCCCATAAGAATTAATGTAAATGAGGGGGTTAGGTTCCAGGGAAATTTTTTTCACCAGACAAGACTCACACACACACACACACACACACACACACTATAAGTTTTAAACAAACAATTTAATACTGGTACACAGTGATGATAATTGTGACGCTTGGTTGAGGTGGTCGAGTCAGAGGGTGGGATATTTCCCAGGGAATGCCTTACTGCTAAATGATGAACTAGCAATTGGCTGAGCCCTCAAGGGTTAACTTTCACACTCTACAAGGCAGCAGGAATGGAGGGAGGGCAGACAGAGACGCACACCGTGTGTGTGTGTGTGTGTGTGTGTGTGTGTGAGCGAGAGAGAGGCGCATTTCCCCTTTAAGTACGCTGACCGTACTCTTAAGTACACTGCCTTGTTAATTAGATCAGCTTGCTGAGACCGCAGCTGCTGCCAGCAAGCGCCCGCCGTCCTGAGCCCTGTCATGTCCCCCCTGCTCTATGGAAGATGGGGTAAGCGGGGTGCAGGGAGGAGGGGGACACCCTGACATGAGCCCCCCGCACAGCAAGCAGGAGGCTCCCGGGAGCAGCTCCAAGGCAGAGGGCAGGAGCAGCACATGGTAGTGGGGGGAGGGACAGCTGAACTGTGGGCAATTGGTAGCCTGCTGGGCAGCTGCTGCACAGGGAACTTAGGGGAGCGGGGAGCTGATGAGGGGGCTGCCGGTCCACGCTGGTTCCAAGCCCCCACCAGCTAGTTGCAACGGGCTGCTCTTCCTGCAAGCAGTGGACAAAGCAGGCGGCTGCCAAACGATGTTAGAAGGGAGCATTGCACAACTTTAAACGAACATGTTCCCTAATTGATCAGCAACGTAACAATGTTAACCAGGACAACTTCAAGTGAAGAGTTACTGTATATTTAAAATATGACTATTGCTCATGTCTTACAGTAAGTAAAATTAATCATAAAATAGCTGACTGCATTATTCAGGATTCAGATGTTTCAATTTGACTAAGACCTGTCTATAGAAAAAATTATCAAAATATTGTGCTGCAAATACAGTGGATTAAGTTTTGCATCCTTTTTGTTGAGATGTATAAAAAACTATTGAAAACTACCCATGCCTGGGAATTGCTGTATGGCAAAAGTGAACTTCTAGATCAGCGGTTCTCAAACTGTGGGTCATGACCCCGTTTTAATGGGATCGCCAGGGCTGGCTTAGACTTGCTGGGGCACAGGCTGAAGCCCAAGCTCCACCGCACAGGGCCAAACCCCGAGGGCTTCAGCCCTGGGTGGCAGGGCTCAGGTTACAGCCCACTTGCCTGGGGCTGAAGTCCTTGGGCTTCAGTCCCTCTCCCCCACTTGGAGTGCTGGGGCTCGGGCTTTGCCCCCTCCACTCCCTAGGGCAGCGGGGCTTGGGCAGCCTCAGGCTTCTGTCCCCCGTCCTGGGGTCAATGTAACAATTTTTGTTTGTCAGAAGCAGGTTGTGGTGCAATGAGGTTTGAGAACTCGTGTTCTAGATTGAGGAACCAGAAACAGGTGCCTTGGATTCCAGGCTTTCAAATGGTAGAAAATAGTGGCTCCTAAACCATGTTTGTAGACCATTAATGGTCCATGGAAATTGACTGTCCTTGTTTCCAGCAGCAAAATTCATTAAAAGTAGATTTAAAATACCCAATACTTTTCTATAATTGCTTTTTCATCTTAAAAGTTATTATAGTAGTCACAGGGACAGTCCATGATCATGGATGGGAGGGGAGGTGCTGTTTACAAAAATGAATAAATGGAAAAGGTGCTCTGAAAGAGACTCTCAAAGATGTCATAGAGTTTAAGGCCAGAAGGGACTACCAGATGATCTAGTCTGACCTTCTGTATATCCCAGGCCACCACTCACAGACTAAACACAACAGCCAAAATGAGATCAAAGTAATACATCCCACAGGAGACTAGAGTATTATGTGCCACAGGCAGAGAAGAGGAGGGACCAAGATGCAACAGTGCTTGAGGCCCCTGCAATGGCAGGGAAATGATCAAGGGAGATATATCCAGATAATCCTGGCAAGTGCCACAACCATATCCTGCAAAGGTGAAAAACCCATAAGGTCACTGCCAATGTGACGCGGAGTGAAATTTCTTCTCATCCCCTCAGTTAGACTCTGAGCATGTGAACAAGAATCAGCCAGCCAAGCACCTGATAGAGAGAGAGAGAGAATGCTTTTGCTAAAAATGTCGCAATTGAAGGGGTGGATGGAAATAATCATCAGAATAACTTGATTTTGTGGGATAGATACTTCATGTCCTGCAAGAGCTGGCGGTGCTATCTGTTTACTTGGTTGGACCAATATGAACGCATTCAGGACCAATAAACTATTCTAAGCACTGGTCCTAAAAAGTGATCAACAAAAATAATTAATTGAAGTCAGAATTTTAAAATTTATTTAATATAAAGCTGCAGTGCATTTGAATTATCGTGTGTCTGATAATCATCCCTTTGTAATTGGGGATTTTTATGCATATAACATGCTCACCCGTGAGACTGAATTAACATGAGAATGTATATTTTTCTTTTTAAAAGGAAAGTAGTAAATGATACACTGAAATACAAGTGCTTTTTACAAAAACGTGCTGAGGAAAAAATCAAATGATCACACATGACAGTAAATATGTATGTGTATTTTGATTTTATTATATTTAAATTGATGAGTATGGAGACATGTAAATCTGGATGGCTTGATGTACAATGAAAACAGTATTGCGTACATGTATGCTCTTTGTATGAGGTTATAGCTTCAGTTCAATAGAAATCATTCATTCTTCATTAAGTGTGGTGTATGAGTTGAGTCCAGATTTTGAAAAACTTTTCTCTTATAGTACTTGGAAACTTTCTTAAAGGATTAAAATCTCCATTTTTCATGCTCCTTTAATTAAGAAATGGCCACATGGAATTTTACCAAACTTAAAATATAAAATTTTTGTATTCTGGACTAAGACCAGCATTAGAAATACAATAAGGAGTAAATTTTCTGGTAATTTATATGCATTAGTGAACAAGAGCTTAGAATGAATTCCCTTCTCAAGCATGACAACAGCAGTGCTGCCAATACATATTTAAATAGGTGATGTCTTTGTTGTTCCCTAACCTTTTTCACACTTTTATTGTCTTGTTCTCTACTCCTCCATTGTATATACATTGTCCTCAGCATTTCTTTTACAGTTTTTCTGCCCATTTCCCCTCTGCTGTTTGTTCTCTCTCTCCTTTCTTCAGTTTCCAATATGTGTGGGTTTCTTCCATGTTTGTTTGTTCTGGTTTTGTTCTGCTCCATACCTCACCCATTCCTTTCATTCCACCTCTCTCCATCTCTGCCTCCCCTCATGCCGTTGTTCTTTGATTTCCCCTCACTGATTTTTCTCTCACGTTTTGTTGATTTTGATGCGTCCTTTACCTCCACAATCATTTTTCTTTGAATTTCTTTCTCTTGTTTCGGCTACACACCTTTCCCCACTTTTCGTTTGCACACCCATTCCTCCCCTGCCTCCTTGTTTTTGCATCTTCCCTTAGTTTTCTGAACATGTGTATCCTGCTTTTTTTGGAAGCTCCCAAATACTTTTTGGCTGCTCCTCATATTTTTTATGCAAGCCCCTTCTTTTACCAAGGATGCCAGTGGGCTTCCCTGAGCTCCTGGTTCCTCCTGTTGACTTCCAGAGGTTTAATTTTCAGTGATAGTTTTCCTATTCAAGGAGGCTTGTGTGTATGAAAATCATAGCTGACAAATAAATTCAGAGGTCAGTATAAGTGGATCTAAGAGAGAATAAGCTGGTATGATTTATTCATTCTTCTGGCTCCCTCAGTATGCGAGTTGCACTAACATAGATTCTGTTACACGTAACCTACTTGCCATGACTTACACCCCCTTATATGTTTCTTGTGAATTTGGCCTATTCAGTCTATGGAGTGTAAGCTAGTGTGGAAAGGCCAGAAAAGAGGGGCGCAGCAGAAAAAGCAACTGACTGGAGGTAGCAAGTTGTTAAGAGGATGCAAGTAGAAGTATGTTTATGTGGTGTGCTGTTTAATATAATGTTACTAATTCTCAGTTCTCTTAACTTTAAATGTTTTTCATTGCCATTTCAGGTTGTAGGGGGCCTAGATATCCACAAAAAGATGGTGGTAGATGTGTGACTCTTTTTAGGGCACCACCCAACACTTTTGCTTTCTTCTCCATCTCTGAAGATCTGCTCAAGACGTCCAGCAACGCTCTCTGTGTATTTAAATGGAAGTATTTTTCTCTGTGAAGCCACATTTTCCAACATGAGCCTCATGAAGCCAACTAAGTGTTATTGAACTTTATTCTCTCAATAACTCAGTGTAGCACTTTAAAGTCTGAAGGACAGCAAGATGGAAAGAGCATATCAGTGTGGTGGAGAAAGGGAAGGGGTTGGCTTTTTAATTTATTTTTCTTCATCTTTTATAACAAGGAAATATCTATCTATATATATATATGTGTGTCTATTTATATATAGATATATATGTAGCTTTCTATATGTAGTAGTTAGATGGGCTTTAATTTAATATACTTGATTCAGAAACAAAACTAGAGTACAAAGTGCCAAGCAGAACATTAACAGTTCAATATATGGATATACATCCTTACTTTTATTTCACACAGTTTTATATTATATATATATATAATAGAAGAATGTAAAAATTTAACAGGGTGTTAGGTCAACTGTTTTCCTTTTCCTGTGACTGTTCAGATGTTTCTATATGTTGACTGGCTGACAAAGCATTGCTTCCTGTTAATTAACCTTAATTACATTTTTGTAACACAGGAGACTGTTTATTTATACCTGTTAATATATTACCAGGGACTGTCTCTCTTCGCTAAATAACTTGTAGTACAACTCTGCTTAATAGTATGAGAAAATATAGTTTAATGCTAATGCCAAGAACTAGTCCTTGTATGCGTATAGTAACTGCAGCATGCTTATATGGTCACTTCATTCTGTCACCTACTAACTGGGAGCAGTTGCATCTATTAAATAGCCCTAAGGATATATAAATCAGCTGTGAGATTCATTTCAGATACAACAGCTGAAGATGTTTGATGCATTCATGATTTCTCTTGCACTTAGCTTAATGAAATTTAGGATTGATATAATTGTGCAGGATTCCCATTTACTCATTTTATACATTACTTAGTGCGATTATAAAATGTTTCTTGCCACTAAATTTGTTTCAACCATAACAGTTTCCCCTCTGCATTTTAAAAAAGTACTACAGGTAGCATAAATAACTGGTAATATTTTATATATATCCCTATATCTATAGAGAGATATATGTATATAGGATTCATACGGGGGGAAATCTTGTTAACCTATGCCATAGAGAAGGAGGAAAACTTCACGTTATCTAAATTTATACCTCTTCCTCTTCTCCAGTCCTTCAATTGGAGAATTTTTTTTCTTTCCTAGATTTGTCCATATCATGATTTCTAATGGATGGTAACTTGATATATTTGTGTGATATAAAAGTAGCGAGCCATGTTTTACAACTTTATATCATCCCTTCCCTTTTCTGCAATGGTACTATTGGCTGGAAGAAAAACACATTTACTAGATTTTTAGGATAGTACATCTTTGCTGTATAGCAGTTTTTCTATTAAAAAATGTTTTATAATCAACAGTGGAAAGGACAGGTTGTATGAACCTACTTAAATGGAGCACCTGTCTGCCATAGCTGTTCCTTCAACTGAGTGCTGCACATCATGGGCTCTGTCTGTGAGAGAGAAATCCAGGTGCTTGGTGTCCTTGCATGACATGAAGTTTTGCATGTAGATCGAATTGAAATGTTCCTCTTGTTTACATAATTTGCATAATTTAAAAAGATAATGTTGCCAAACTTTGGTAAATGTTAATGTTCAAACCGAAAATCTCCACTACATGTAACTTTCTTCCTCTGGATCAGTCCGTGGCTTATAATCCCAGCCAGTGGTTGTATCTGTTCCATTGTCAACTGCCATGTGCTCTGCTTCAAGGGGGAACTAGTCTTTTGTGAATTTTTTGTACATAAGTATTTGTTACAAACATTTTAGCAAATGCTTTCTATTTCTCTTACTTGCTTGTGCATATCTTGGCTGGCGTTCTAGAAAATAGTGCTATTGTTATTTCCTTATCGGGGGGATAAGGGGTTTTTTTAGTTTGTGTGGGGAAAATGGTTTATGTTGAATGTTTAGTTTTTCCTCTGCATGCTACATCATATGTTGTGGGAACTATAGAACCTTCATACTATATGAATAAAAAAATAAAATATTTGAACCTTGCCATAGTGTTCTAAATGTTTTTGTTGAGCTTCATGTCAGGTGGCTTTACTTTACATTTTTAAAAATTAATGTCGCAGAACTAATTCCATAGTTGCTGTTATTCTAAAGAAATTGGTTACTAGCACTATAAAATTCCTATTGAAAGTGTTTTGAGTGTTAGATGCAAGCTGTTAGTGGGAACATTGCCAGTCTTCCATTTGCAGTGTTTCAAAGCCACCTGCTTTTTTTTACTGGGGCACATGACTTTATAAAGGTTATTTTTCTCCTATATGTTCATCTGCCAATCCAGAGGACATTAGGGAGACAAGGTGGGTGAGGTAATATCTTTTATTGGACCAACTTCTGTTGTAGAGAGAGAAGCTTTCGAGCCACACAGAACTCTGCCTCATAGGACCCACCTACTGTCATGGAGACAGCTCAACTAGCTCAAATGTTTTTTGGTGGTAAAAGGAAGCTCTAATTTAAATGCAAGGATGACAGGCATTTTGGAATGATCTTTGTCCTCAGAGGCAGGTGCACTATCCTCTGAAGAAAGCAGAGGGAAAACACAATTGTCTAGTTTCTCAGTACTGAAAAACACTCCCTTAGTCTGGAAGCCCTTTTATTTCAACCAAAGCCTGTTTATTTCACTGCTTTTGATGTCCCACTTCAGAAGAAGCTTCTTTTGGGGGCTAGCCCAGTATGGGAGGGGAAAGGAGTGTTTTGTCCTTCAGTGTAGCACCCAATGCTAGCTTTACAGTAGCTTCCATTCACTGCACGCTTACCTCAGGAAAACTCCTGTGCAACGTAGCTATTCTTTCTACTACTCTCAAAGTTAATGGTGTGTAAAATGGCAGGACTAAATTAGTCTAGCGTAATGCTTTCTTCCCACTTAACTAGCCCTCATTGGTTTGGGGCAAAGATGTCTGAGCCCTCCCCCAAAAAAGCAGTACAAGTACGAATGTGTATAAAAAACAGTTGCAGGACAGACAGGATTGGGATGATGATTGACTATACAAGCCAATCTTCCGACTGCAACTTTAAATCACAACTCATCTAGATAGTCAAACTATTAGTAGAGAAGAGGGAAACCCTTAGTACACCTCTACCCCGATATAACGCGACCCGATATAACACGAATTCGGCTATAACGCGGTAAAGCAGTGCTCCAGGGGGGCGGGGCTGCGCACTCCAGCGGATCAAAGCAAGTTCGATATAACACGGTTTCACCTATAACGCGGTAAGATTTTTTGGCTCCTGAGGACAGCGTTATATCGGGGTAGAGGTGTACAAGTTTGGTAGTGTTTTGGGAACATGATAAATGGGAGCAGGTGCCTGAAGTACAAGAATCTGCTTTTACAGAGGTGCGCGCACATGCTACTAAACTATTCAACAGGTTTACAGCTGTTCATTTCTCTAAACATGCAGCAGTATTAACACCCCCAGCAGAGAGGGCTTTGCAAGATTTAAAACTGCCCCGCTAGTTGAAATTTTTGAAGGGAAATCTGCTATATTGATGTTGATGTGCTGAGCACCAGCAACTCTGCATACACTCAGTACCACTTCAAGCAGCATTTATTGAACTAGAACCTTGTGCAGTAGATCGGTTCACTGCTCTAGTTAAATTGAGCTGGTTCAATAGTACAACATTCACATATACAGGATTCAGGCAGGTACACGTCTCACTCTGTCTGTACATTCAGAAGGATGGTATAGGCCTGAAATCCCATTTTAAAATGTGTAAATTTGAACATGGAAGTGGTGTCTCTTTAGGATGCCCCATTTAATAGAAATCTCTCTCTTCAAAACAGTTTATCATAATGAGTGACCTGTTTACATTGGGAAAGTATTTAGTAGTCTGCTTAAAGAGGAGGTATTTGGCTGGTTCATTGTAGGTATGAAATTCTAAGTTCTTCATTACAGGTAGGACTGGTAGCACTCCATTTGAAGTTTGCCTGACATTTCCCCATTTAAGACCTTAGCGTCAGTTGTTTATATCTTTTCAGCCCAAACAGCTGAAGTTTGGCAAATTCCAATGGAATCATTTTGGAAGGTTTCATGCAAAATGGTTCAGCAGGTTTTGAGAACAAAATTAGGGGGAAATACATTTTTCCCATATTTAAAATTTTTAGAATTTCTTTGAGAAGCCCTTGTACCCCCATACTTTGAGAATGGAACTGAAATTGGACCCAGTTATAAGCCTCTGAAAAATCTGTTTTCACATGGTCAGAGTGAAACAGCTAAAATCTTATCTGCACCCAGCATGCTCTATTTCCCCTGCTCTTACTGCTGACTACACTAGGCTGCAGGGGGAAAGCCACTTTCTTGGCAGCATGGACTAGGGTTGAGCTAGGGCAGTGGTTCTCAAACTTTTTGTATGGGTGACCCCTTTCAGACATCTCCCTATCTAAATTAAAACCACTATTTTCTATTTAACACTATTTTAAATGCTAAATTTATAACCCTATTTAAAATTAATGTACCTTTTCTCACAGCTTTTAAATTAAACATTGAATTGTTATAAGCAGAAAAGTTTTTTAATTAGTTACTGTTGAATACTAGGAGGTGTGATGAAACGGTCAATATCACTTCACAGCAGACTTGCTAGCTAGCTGGGAGGCTGTGAAAAGTGATATTAACATACAAATATCACTTCACAGTAGACTTACTAGCAGCCCATTGCCACTCTTCTGTGGTGATGCTGGCAGCATGCACTGCCTTCAGAGCTGAGTGACCACAGAGTGGTGGCTGCTGGCCAGGCACCCAGCTCTGAAGGCAGTACTGCTGCCGGCAGCAGCACAAAACTGCAGAAGGTATATAGATTTAAATTATATATTTTATAGTAGTTGGGGTGTTTCATGCATGTACTTGCAACCCATGTAAAACCTCATGACCCCTGAGCTAGGGAATGTGAGTGAGAGCAGGGAACCCCTCTGTCCTATGCTCTCAGTGATGCCCCTGCTGGTGGCCAGGTAAGGTAGCAGAGGAAGCCACCTTATGCAAATACAGAAGGGACAAGAGTCAAGCCAGGGGGAAGGAAAGGAGTGGAGTGGGTGATCCATCTAAAGCAGAGGTGGGTAAACTAGGGCCCGTAGGCCACATCTGGCCCATGGGACCATCCGGCCCAGCCCCCAGGCCACATCTGGCCCATGGGACCATCCGGCCTGGCCCCTGAACTCCTGGCCTGGGAGGCTAGCCCTGGCCCCTCTCCCTCCCCGGCAGCCTCAGCTCACTTGCTCCTCTGCCAGCACAATGCTCTGGGCAACAGGGCTGTGAGCTCCTGGGGCAGCGCAGCTGCAGAGCCTGGCCTGACCCGGTGCTCTGTGTTGCGTGGTGGCAGCAGCATTGTGGTGTGGCTGTAGCACCGCCAGCCACTGGTGCTCCAGGCAGCGCGGTAAGGGGGCAGGGGAGTTTGGGGTGCTGGTCAGAGGGTTGAATAAGGGCAGAGGTCCTGGGGGGGCAGTCAGGAAGGAGGGGGGGGTTGGATGGGGCATCAGGGCAGTCAGGAGACAAGGAGAAGGGGTAGCTTAATGGGGCAGGGGGCCATCAGGAATGAGAGGGGTTGGATGGGGCAGTGCGGGTCCAGAGGCAATCAGGCAACAGAGTAGGGGGGTGTGGATGGGGCAGGAGTCCCAGGGGGGCCATCAGGGAATGGGGGGGGTTGGATGGGGCAGGAGTCCTGGGTGGGAGCAGATAGGAGGTGGGGGCTGGGCCCTCCCTTAACCAGCCCTCCATACAATTTGAAACCCAATGCGGACCTCAGGCCAAAAAGTTTGCCCACCCCTGATCTAAAGCTTCCAACCCTGCTGATGGCCTGCTGTGGGAGTTAATATACCACCACTAGAAAAATCAATTTGCTTTTAAAAAAATTAAAATATTAAACATGCATTAAAGCCAAGCACTCAAGTTAGGAAATTCAATAATGAAGCTTTCCACCACATATGTTGTGGTGGTCCCAGGGCTGGGGATCTTTCCTGCACGGTTGTGGGTCCCAGGAGATTGGTGGGCCCAACTGTGCCCCAGGTTACCCCACTGCCTTCATTATAGTAGCTGGAATTTTCCCCCACATCTTATACCAAGCTCTCAAAGTTTAAACATCAGAAGGGTCTACTCTCTGCCTCAATCTGTATTATGGGGATAGAGCCCCATCACCCCACGGGGGGTTGTAAAAAAGTTGTTTGTGAAGCACTCAATACTATAGCCAAAAAAAAAAAAAAACCATGAGGAAACTGTCTTTAGAGCCAGGTTTGAATGGCATGCAGTAAATAAGCTGCAGCAAACAGTGAGGAAACAAGTTATTGAATAGCTGCTCAATCAGACCCATTCATGTGCACGGAGGAAGGAGTTCTGTGAAAAAAATTGTGATGTAATTAAAGGCATCATGCACTCTCCCAAGGGGGGTAAATTAAGGTAAGTAAACAATCTCCTTTTCAATCATGACTTTGTGCCCTTTATTTTAATTCTTCCCTAAACACACCCCAATTCTGCCATATTCCTCCTTCAGAGGAGGTCTCCAGTACTGTACCGGTGTATTTTCCATCCTCTTCCTTAAATCACATTTTCTTTGACTGCAACTGCACACTGATGTCTTCATTAAGATATCTACATCACCTGGGTCACTTTCCTGAATTGACTGATACTTTAGCGTTCTGGAAGATTCATGAGTAATTTGTTTTCCCTGCACTGTATATTACTTTGCATTTACTGACACTGAACTTCATCCATTGTTACATATTCACCTCGCTTGGTCAAATGTCTAAAGTTCTTCTAGTCCTGACTAATTTAAATAACTCATCTAAATTTTGCTTCCTCACTTGTTTCCAAGCAATTATTTATACAGTGAACATAAGTACATAGAGAACCTTGGGCCACACACCTGTTGTGCTTTCACTATGAAAACAGATTAAATGGTCACTTTTATTATCTCCTAAACAGTTTTTGATCCATGGCACTACTTAGTCTTTCATCTTATGAGAAACTTATCATTGGTAGCCTCTTTGAGGAACCTTATTAAAAGCTAT